TGGGTATTACACTATCAATTACAACGAGTGTGAAAAGTGTAACAACAACTGCACAACATGCACACAATACGAAAAATGCATTTCTTGTGTTAAAAACAAAATTTTATTTGAAAGTGGACTTTGTCTAGATATTTCATATGTATCACATTGTATTGAAATTTCAAATTCGAAGTGTTCTAAATGCACAATTTGGCACTCCAGAAATGATAATGGAACTTTGTGTGACGAGCATGTGGTTTGGTGGGTGCTTTTTATTATTATTTTATTTGCCATTTTTGTGATAATAATATTTATATTGTCGTTTGTATTAACTATAAAACACATTGACAACAAAATGCATCAAAAAGAAATTGCGAAGACAACAACACTCTTTAAAATAAGTCACTCAAACATCACTTTTATTCAACTTGGTGATGACGTTGTTGTTAATAGAACCGAACTTAATTTTGGTGATCAAATTGATGTCGACACACAACAGCGAGAACTTCTGTGTGTTGGGAACACCTCAAAGCACAACATGAAAATTCAAATCACAACAAAAAGTGCGACAATTAAAAAATACGAATTTGACTCAAATCCAAAGATAATTGTTTTACCAAGTGGCGAAGCTTGTGAGTTTGAGATATTATTAACATTAAATTGCACTACTAATATTAACCAAAGTATTATGTTAGTCACAAACTTATTTACAAAAAGAAATGATGTCATTAAAAAATTAACAATTACAGCAACTTCAAAATTGACGACACGACTCGATCCGGACGAGTTACAAGAAGACAACATACTTGGTGAAGGATCTTTTGGAATTGTTTACAAAGGGAAATACAGGAATAATGATGTCGTTATCAAAAAGATGAAACTGTGTAATAATAATGACATTATTGACGATTTTACAAAAGAAGTTGCAATGTTGGACAAATTTCGAAGTGAGTTTATCGTCCATTTCTATGGTGCCGTATTTATACCAAATAAAATTTGTATGGTCACTGAATTAGCAAAATTTGGAAGCTTACAAGACTTGATGAACAATAAAAATAGTGAAGAAATTGATATGAAATTGAGAGTAAAATTTATAATAGATGCAGCAAGAGGAATACAATATTTACACTCAAATGATATTTTACACAGAGATATCAAGCCAGACAATGTCTTAGTGTTCTCACTTGATTTAAACAACAAAGTGAATGCTAAGTTGACTGATTTTGGAGCAAGTCGAAATGTCAACATGTTGATGACTAACATGACATTCACTAAAGGAGTTGGAACACCTAAATATATGGCACCTGAAATCTTGAACAAAGAGCATTACAAAAAACCAGCAGATGTCTATTCGTTTGCTATTACAACGCTTGAATGCTTTTTGTGGGGTGAGGCGTTCCCAAAAAGTACTTACATATTTCCATGGACTATTGCAGATGATGTAGCTTCTGGAAAAAGACCAATAACCATTAAAACGCTTGATGAGAAGTACAGAAATGTTATCGAAAAGTGTTGGAAACAAAATACTCAAGAGAGATGTACTATTATTGAAATCATTGATGAACTTAAAACAATAATTTAATATTTGGTTTTAATATATTTATAAATTCCATATCACTTACAGTGAAAAGGGTTTATTTGTCGTAAATCCAGCAGTAAAATGTATTTTTTGTAGTTAATAAGTAAATTATGTAAAGAGTTCTTTATAATAATGGGTGGCCGGATATTTGATTCCGGACAATTGATTCCTTTGTGTTTTATTTGGTTATTAACAATGCTACAAATTGGGTTTTTATTTTTATATTAGTGTTTTTGATGGACATTTGATTCCCGAATAATAATATCAAAATGAAATAACGAATTGTTATTAAGTTAATTTTCATATAAATAATCGGGTTTGATTAACAATTTTGTTTTCTATGGACAATTAATTCCACGTGGATAATAATCATGTTATTGATTTAAAAAAATACAACTGATTTATAAAAATAAAATTATTACTTTTTTGGTTTGATTAATCTTTTTCTGTTTTTTCTCATAATTTCACGAACAACAACTGCTTGCTTGTATTGTTTTGATCGTTTTCTTGGTTTTTTATTTTCCTTTTCTTTTATGGCGGTTTGAGTTTTTATTTTTAATTTATCAATTCTTTCTTTTGTTTTTAAAACCAATGGTATCATTGATTCATTGCAACAATCCATGACTTCACAATTTTTAATGCCTATATTTGTAACATCTTCGATCACATGTTTTATTTTTTCATTATCAATACAAACACGATTGTCTTTTTCAACACCCAATTCCGTTGGTTGTGTAATTGGTGTTTTTATTAATTCATTAATCTTGTTTTCGTTTTGGGGAACCATTTCGAAATAAGAAGATCTCAACAAGTAATTAATGTTGCAAAGTTTCGATATAAATGGTTGAGTTGTAATTAATTTGTTGGTAAAGTTATATGTTAAATTTTCTATAAGTGTATTTCTTGATACATTTTGTGATCTTTTTCTTTTAAACACTCCATCAAGCATGTTTTTAAATTGTTCATTTTCTTTTGTTTCTATTTTAATAATTTTATCAAGCCATTCAACTTCACTTGGATGTTTGTGTTCTAATCGTTTTGCAAATACAGAGTGAAAACTTTCACATATATTGTTTGTTCTTGTTTTACAACAATATCGATTCCACATTTCTTTTGTAAAAACATTCCCAAGCCAAGTTTGTTCGTAATAGTTGTAAACTTTAAATAACTCCAAATCTGTGCAATCTTTTTTCATGTTCTCGAAAACGCCACTAACATCTTCAACTGGCAAAAAAGCCAAACACATAAAAGATTTAGCAATATTATAAAATTGTTGATCTTCTTTAAAACGGCTCGAAAGACCCAAAGTGTTGACTTTTCTCCAAAGAGATTAACACAAGTGAAAATAGCACCCCTTTGTAATACAGCCAAAGTATTCAAGTGCATTTTGAACTGCCTTTTCAAAACCAATCATTACAACAACACCATTTTTGAATAAAACATACCCATTGTTATTTTTTCAGTAATCATTAATACAATTAAACATTTTTGTATAATAATTCTGTTTTTCCAACGAGTAAAGCATGAACCAAAGTAAAATGTTCTCCATTTTTCAACATACAGTTTATAGTGTACATTTGATAAAAAATTTTGGGTGCAGTGCTAAATGTACCATCCATGAACAACAATTCAAAATGATTAATTTTGGTAACTTTATCTTTATTTACAAATACAGCAAAATCTGGATCTTCCTTAATTAAATAATCATTGTATAATGGGTGTGATTTAAAGTCACAATTGGTAAACATTTTTTGTCTTAATCTTCTAAATTCCCTTAAAGTTGTACTTTCTCTTTTACTGTACATAGAAAAATCTTTATCTTCAAGTGCTTTTGAACTTGAAACAAATCGCTTTTCAATTAGTGAAGCAGTTTCAATTAATCTTTCTTTTGCTTCGTTTTTGCTTCTGCATCGTGAGATGGGTGTGAATGTATTTGATTGTATGAAGTGAAAATGTAAGATTTGAAATTTGTAATATTATTAATTGGACCATCGAATTCAACTATTTTAATTGATACATCACAATGAATATCTTTACACTTGTAATTTAAAAAAGAACGTCCAGTTCTATGAAACACAAAATCATCAATTATTTATATTTTTCTACCTGAAATTTTTGAATTCAACAATTTTATTTTTGTAAACAACTTTAGATTAATATTTATATTTATATCATTTGTGACATTTTGTGTAAATGATGTAAGTGGAATATTAGTTAACTGAAGATGTTGCTCCGTTGATCCAATGTGTTGGTTTGGTAAATTGTAAAAATGTGGTTGATATAGATAAAGTTGCATAAATGGTAATTGTTGTTGATATTGTTGACAAATGGAATAATTGCATGGATATATTGGCATGAATGGTTGTTGAAATCCATTGCAAGGTAACATCAATAAATATATCAAATCAGTTGTATTTTTTTAAATCAATAACATGATTATTATCCACGTGGAATTAATTGTCCATAGAAAACAAAATTGTTAATCAAACCCGATTATTTATATGAAAATTAACTTAATAACAATTCGTTATTTCATTTTGATATTATTATTCGGGAATCAAATGTCCATCAAAAACACTAATATAAAAATAAAAAACCCAATTTGTAGCATTGTTAATAACCAAATAAAACACAAAGGAATCAATTGTCCGGAATCAAATATCCGGCCACCAGAAAAATGAAATATATTTTTTATGAAAATTTGTTTTAAATTCAACAAAAAATAACTTTTTCAATTATTGAAAAAATAGTACGCTTTCCCAATTATAATTTTCAACTAAACAAATATTTTGGAACATATATATGCAAACCAAAGTTGAAACAATAAATAAAACAGTTATTGAAATACCTTATGGAGTTGAGTATTTATCTGATCTAGAAGGTTAAGTATTTGATTTTCCAAATGTTGTTGTAAATAAATCGCTTCCTAATTTAGGCGGAACTTATTTCGCTATCACTTCCAAATATTTATCAATTATATGTTCTCTTATAATAGGGATGTTAGAGTCTAAAATAAAACAACATAAATGCTTATTATTAGTAAAAGAAAATTCTAATGATAAAAAACAATTATTGATTATTTATATTGTAATCCAAAACCGAAAACATTAGTTACATATGATTTTTTAGTAAATTAATGGATGTAATCATAAACAAAGATATGTTTAGAATAATTGTAGATAAGTTTTAATTTATATTATCTGATTCTTCTTTTAAATTAAACATTTTGACAAAATTTTAAAATAGATTGACTGAATGCAAAAATGTAACTTATTTATCTGCAACACCTATTTTTGATAAATTTATTAAACTATTGCCTCAACTATCTAAATTTCCAAATTTTGAATTTAAATGGTTAAACAATACACAAAAAACTGTTTATCTTTCCGAAACTAACACACCCACTTTTGCTTCGACGGGTAAAGATTATCAAATCTAAAGAAACTTGTAATCCAATATTATAAATGATTAATTATTTGAAAACATGTAAATCTGGTTTTTATGAAAAAAGTAACAATAATATTGAAGCCAAAGAAATAGAAATATTTATAAATTAGATTGGTTCTATACTTAAGATGTGTTATAGATATGGTTTAAATGAGAACGAGGTCAATATATTGATTAGAAATAATATTAAAAATGCCAATAAAATTAACAATTTTAAAAAGAAATACATTACAAAATATCAAATTGGTGGCTTACAATATAATAATAATTAATGCAGTTAAGAAGAAACAGTTGACATATTTAATAGAGTTATTAATACTAATATTCCGACATCGTCTTGCAATATAATAAACCATTTACTTTTTGTACTAGAGCTTATTCTGCTGGGTGTCATTTTTTAGTACTTGTGCTAAAATATTTGTGATTAACAATATTAAGAATAATGTTATATTTGATATTTTTACTAGATTGTTGCAAATTATTGTAAGACAACTTTTAGATTGTAATCATTTTAAATATAATTTAACATTTATATAAACAACATCTTCATCAAAAAAAAATAAAAATAATTTAGATAATTATTTGATTAAAGCTAAGAAGTTAATTGAAAATTATAATAGATAAGATTTAGAACTTAAACAAAATATTTATAAATACAGTATGGTGAAAAAGTCACACCAGGGGAGAAAGTCACACCACATTATTTCACATGAAAATTGTTTATTTTTTCGGGAATTTTTTAATGGATTTTTACTTTGAATTTTTCTTCCCGAAAATTGACTTGAATTATATACTGAAAAAAATGTGGTGTGACTTTTTCCCCATACTGTAATTATGAAAAATATAAAAAACAATCAATCAAATAGTTTTTCAAACTTAAATTATACTGAATTAATGTTTAAATACTATATTTATTTAGATAATGAAATTTTCAAGTTAAATAATTTAGCTATTTGTTATTATATAATAAATAAAGAAATGTTAGGAGAAATGTATAATTTAAAAACACAGTTGATGATAATATTGAAAATATTGTTGAGAATTACGAAGTAATCAATTCAACCCTTATAAACACGTGTGTAACTTATGTAACTTATGCGAAATTATACACCAAATTAATAAAAGATCCCGACACTAATGAATTTGATTTGAAAATTATTAATAACACTTATCTGTCTATAAAACGGTATTATGATGAATTAGGAGAAGATAAAATGTGAGCTTTAAATAATAGATAGTGAAAAAAACTGCTTTTGATAATTTAATGGTTATTTTAATTAAAATGTTGTACAGGGGTGAAATTAAACTTGTAAAAAAATGAAAGTGAAATGTAAAAACATAGGTTTAAAAGATAATAATAGCATTTTTACACCAAAACGGCATTTTTCACAAATATCAAAAATGACAATAGAATCGTGGAATGATTTGAATTGATATTTATAAGAAAACCAAAAAATTAACCATTTTCAAATTAACCCTTTCGGTACCAGAGATTTCCAAAAATGTAAATTATTTATATCTTATTCATTTTGAGTGTATATTAGAAAAAAATAATA